AAGTCGCATCGAGCTGGGAATGCCTCGCCGCTGGTTCATCCACCCATTCAATCGACGGCGTGGCGGTGTCCAGCGATCTCAGAAGAGAAGCAGAAGCCATTGAGCCATAGACTTCTGATCTCTCCACGCTCGAGGCGTCATGACCTTTTCGAACGCCATCCGGGGGATGACCTTGCTTCGGACTTCCGAATTCTTCGGCAGGCTTCTCGTAGACTGAATAGTTCGGGCAGTTGGCAGCAACGAGCATTCACTGTAATTATCCGTTTTCGCATGTTCGAGGGTCTTCTATACCGGCAGAGTGTGGTGTATCGATGACACGTCAGAGAGGTCACGTCAGTGATCTACAGCGCGAGGAAAATAGAAAGATAAGCGCAGTTCCTTACGTCATGCCGCCGGATCCCTCCGGGATAATCAGACTTAAGAGAGCTGTGGGTGTCTCCATTTATTCCTTCCCCTTTGTTACTTTTTGATGTCCATCGGCTGCCCGCTCGATCTACGTATCAAAAATGGATATTCACACATGCAGAAACTCCCAGGGCACATCTGTGGACTTTTCAATTTACTCGATTCCGGACGGTCTCTCGTTGCCTGCTGCATCGCAGAGGATTGCAGCCGTCTGTGACAGCAGCGTTCGCTGACCGTCTCTACAGCAGAGCCTCGCCATTAAATTCATTTCGCTGGCGGAAGCGGAAACTACCTCCTATCTCGTAGCTTCCCGTAGCAGCCGATGGGAGTCGAAACGCGACGCGCATCTCAAGAGCCGTCCGGGGCTCAAGAGACCGTGTGGTCGCTTCGCGGAGCAGAGAGAAATCCGGACGTTCTATCGAAAGTATCTCGTGGAGCTTACCAGAAAAGGTCCCGCCGATCGACGCCGGAAGAGCATCGAACTCCGGCCCCGGCTTGAGTCCAGAAACGAACCGCAAACCGGTACCACGCAACAGGAGAGGCCCATCCAAAATCTCCGGCCGGAGGGAGAGAGGTCGTCAGAAAACAAAATACGGGGAACTTCGAGTGCAGAGCCGGGGAAAAGGTAGGGCGTCGGCCGTATGAGAGATGTACCGGCGACCATCAGGGAAATAAGCTATTTCCTTTAGAAAACGCTACCGAGAGCAGTTTGCGTCGTTTGGTCGGAATACTTACACTGGAAGTTTAGAAAGAAACAGCCGAGAACACTTCTTGTACGAGACCATCAAGGGAAACAAGAGAGTGACTCCGCTGGCGTCTTGATGCTGCCCGCGCTGAAAATGGGCCAGAGCCACAAGAACGGGCCTAGCGAGCGGGAGCGAGAAGAAACAGCAAAATGTGACAAACACAAAAGTGCATCTACAAGTAAGTCAGGGCGGCGACCTGAGAGATAATGCCCGGCCAGCCCCGGTTCCCTCGTCCCTGGATTTCCATGCCCGTCCCTCGTCTTTGCGCCCGCGCGGTCACCGTGGCTTGCCCACCACGCTCGCTGCATAGCGGGCCAGCTGGGAGCCGAGATGGAGAAAAAAGGGGAATTTTTTTTCGAAGGGGATGCTCGCCGTCAGACTGACCGGCCCGGTCGACTCGCTGCCCAGCTAGCTAGTAGGGGCAGCAGAGAAAGATGGGTGGTCACTTTGATGGATCGACTTCCGGCCGTGCGTGCCCAACATAAAAATGCAGCAACGAGAAAGAACAACGAACCTCACTGCGGCCGCTAAGAAGATGCAAAAAGGAAAGCAGCTCGCAGGAAGGCATGTAGCGAGCCTACGAGCTCGCGAGACAGTTGAGGGACGCACAGACAGAAAAGCAAAAAAAAAGAGAGCAACCGTACTCCGGCTTCTTTGTTCTTGTGATGGGTTGGCCAGACGCCGTCGAGGCGACTATTCATGCAGCGTGTATGCCTCTCCCCGAGAAGGATTCTTCCGTCGCTCTTGCCTAGCAGATGATTCCTCCCATGACGAGATTCCGGATCCCTGTTCCGGACCACCGAGAACCTGGCTTGATCCGACCCTTGATCCTGGAAATTCAGCGGGAAAATTTGATCTCCAAATTCAGGTGAGGCTGCCTCGCCTGTCCCCGGAATATTTCACTGTGAGAGCCCGGAGATTCCTACCTGAGGCGATATCTACTGACTTCCGCTCCCGGCTATTAGCGGAGACTCTCCTCGGAGCACAGCTCGACGAGGTTTTCTGTTCTATCATCGTTCGAGAGCTCGTTCCGATGCCAGCAATCAATCCATCGACGGTGCATTAAAGATTGACCCCGAGGGAGATGGCCGAGGCGTGTCCCGGCTGGTCGCTAAAAGGGAGCAAGGAAGCGGGCGGCCGGCCGCTCTGACGGCGAGCGGTGAAGTCATGGCGGGCGCCGAACATTCGAAGGGAAAGTTATGTTAAATGCGAAGTAATGTCGGGAGATATTAGTGCTCTTCCCTCACTGCGCGATGCGGGACTGCAATTCGGACAGTGATGGATAGCGCAGGAGAGGAAGAAAGAACTTTTGCGAAGATTTCAGCATGCGAACGTGTAACAACGCTCACAGCACAGAACAACAATCAGACCTATTCGTCAGCGTCTTCCTTCATTTTCCCAGTCGCTTGCGGGGGGGAGACTAAACGTTCAGGGAGCCAGCCGTGCGATCCTCTGTTCCATCGTCTGACCCACCGCTGCAGATTTCAGAAAGCGTCGACTTCGATAAATGATGTGAATCATCGTTCGAGCTCGGAGGGAAAATCAGGTACTGCGATGAATCCTCGGCGGCATTTGGATCTCGAACCCGATGGTCCTTCCGATTTGGGGCGACGCTGTCGCCGAATTCTCACCAAATTCTCAATGGGAGAAGATGTCTCAGAGCCCCGCTGATGACTTATGGTAATTCACCATGGGTCGTTTCTGATATAGCAAACGATGTAAAGCGATCGATGACCGAAGTGATAGTTGATTCCACATGATTTGCTTCTCTATAAGTCACGTGGCCTATTTTGCCGATCGCGTCCGCGCACTCTCGACGAAACACCACTCAAAACTTGTTCGACTCCCGCGATCGTTTCAGAACGCAATGGGTGGAATGGAAAAACACGATCAGATTCTCTCTCCGTTTCCATATTCCCTAATTCCATCTATTTCAACCCCGATGACTTTCTTGCCTCCAGGATACCGACGAAATATGATTGCGTCTCTCGCCGCGAGCCCAACACTGCTTGAGTGGAGGAGCTTCCAGCGGTAATTCCCCAGCTCCATACAGATTCAATCTGCCCGACTTGATTTAATTCCAGAGAGAGTATCATTAGAAGCCGAATACAAGCAGACTTCCAAACGCATGACTAGTGACCGGGCTCGCAGAGGCTTCCGAAGTCTCCGGAACAATGGCGGCCATGCTTCGACTAATCGGAACGACCGGAAGACTCTCCCAGTAGATGCCCGATGATCCGGGATCCGAACACCATGACGCGCCATCGGATGGAGGATTGGGCTTGGTTCCCGGGCTTCGACACTTTTTCCATCGAAGACGCCGTACGGCTGAAGCTGCATCCCGATTGTCCCGCGCGCTTCTCGCTATATCGTGTCGGCAGCAACCCCGGAATTCTACCCAGAGCAGCGAGTGAAGTCGCTTCCTCACCCATTATATTGTTAACAATCCAGCGTCTGACGGAGAATTATTCGAGGTCCTTCATTCATCTGAGCCAGGCTTCTCCGAACTCGTGCCGAGCGCCGTTATTTCCGATCGCATTCTTAGGCGATTATCCGAAGAGAGCTGCAAAGAAAGGTGAGTTCCTAAGGGGAGAAGAGCGGCGGGGGGAGCTCAGCCTCGGTATGTGTATTTCGGAATCGTCCCCCCCCCGAAATCTTCCGAGGATGGCGTCCGGAAGTTTCCCCAAGAGATGCATGGCTCATTGCGATTCGGGAATACAGCTCTAGCATATACATTTCGCCCCTCTTTTTTTGTTTCGAGATTAAACGAATCAGCTCGGTAAAAATTCATGACGCTACTGAGCTCTGGACGCTTGCTCACGCCAAGGGAGACACGCGCTGCCGTTCCTAGAAAAACATGAATCACGATCGCGGCCTGAAGCGACATGTGCGATGATTCCAGATGTGACCCCTAAACGAATCACGGTCAGTGTTGGGAGGAGGCCACATCGTCCTCGTACTCGCTAATTATTCGCGCTCAGATCTCAGCGAATACGATACCCAGATTTCTCCCTGGAAATATTTTCAACCGGGGGCTGCTGGAATCTATCTTCTCTCACCTCCCTTGTACAAATTCGGGGCCTCAGCTCGGAGAATAGTTATCGTTCTTATTCGATGTCTACCCCTTATGCTGAGTGACCCACTGAAATCGTAGGTGTCGTAAGGTCAAGCGCGCGAGAATGCCCAGATCAGCGACCGCGGGAGCAATCATCCGAGCTTTCCCCATCCAGATCGGCGCCGTCCCATTAGAATCCTCGAGTTGAGGATCGAGACGGAATATCTCGCCGGACGGGATTGGATACAGCTCATTCTTCAAGCTCGAGTCATTTTCCCGGTGAATGACGTCGAAGTTCAGAAGCCGTTGGTGCTCCCTGGACGCCAGGGGGTTCCGTCCGCTGGAAGTTGAGATTCCCGATGAAACCCTCTGCGGAATGACAAAGTTTCTACGCTGCTCAGCACAAGGCATCCTGAATTTTCGGTCAGCCTCCCTGAGATTTCGAACCGGCTTGGAAGGACTTCCTCAGGTCGGAGGGATGTTGCCTACGATTCTTCTGCGGATAATAAAAATATTGCAAGGCCATCTTCAATCGCAGTGAGAATCAGTTGCTCGAGCACCTGTCAAGAACGGTGGTCGATTGTTGTTGCTCTAACCCACAGAAAACCTGATGTCCTGCTCTGACTAACGCATGATGTGTTTGCGGCAGGCGACCCTCTCTCGTTAGCTGAGAGTAATCAGCGATGTCGCGCGAACTGCATTTGTTCTACGGCTGCCGATCGACGAGCTTCTCGACACGACTTACCCCGACGATCCCAGGTGATGAGATACAGCTTGATAGTAGTCTTGGCTTTCGCCATGACGAGAACATCCGGGCAGGGGTTCTTCCCCGGCTTCCCTGTCGGTTTCGACCCAGGTTTCGGTCCAGGATTCGGACCGGTGTTCGGTCCAGGTTATGGCCCCGGCTTCGGTCTGGGTGGGTTCGCGGGTGCAAGAGACCCTTTCATGGGTCCGCCGGTGTTCAGGTTCGGCGATTCCATGGATTCATTGTTCTGCCGGAGCATAACGCCCGAATCGAGATACAGACTCACGATTGAAACCGAGAACTCGACCCACACAGTGAACGGTGAGTGGAGCTCCCCGTGAGTAAGAGTGAGAGATTGGTCTCATGTTGAAATCAGGTGCTCATGGTGGGAATATCTTGGACTGATTCCAGTCACGGGTCAAGACGTGCTCGACTGCTTGACTGAGGAGCACAGACGATGCAGCGCCGCAGTGATGTTCAACGACGATTTCTTGGTGGGTGCATACTCAGAGAATGGGCGAAAAAACATGAAATGGTTGACTCATGATCAGTCTCAATTTTAACGAACTGGAAAGCCGATTAGCTAAATTGATTTCTCAATCTACTTGGTACCGCTCCCCAGAACTGTCTAAGCGACACGAACAACGACGACTCGGATTCGACCGAATCTTCTATGGCGGAGAACGAAACCGAGGCAACAAGTTTGAGCACTGACGCGGTCAGCGCAACGACAGGAGCGAGTTCCATCGACGCCACGGAGACGTTTACTGTTGGCACGCCATCTACCGCACAACCGACTGCAGAAAACGCTGAGGGCGAAAACGTGAATGTTATATAAGAGGACTGAAGCAAGCGGCGCAGTCAACTCGATTGTTTCTTAGAATAAACCCGAGAGTCTCTCGTTGACTCTGCGACACTTCTTACTCATGGAATTGGGAAGAAGCTCACTATCATGACTCATGACACAATCGCGGCCTTCGATAGTGAGGAATGGATTACCTCCCGCGCACGTAAGCCGCCCCGTTCGGGCCAGAGGCTCACCGAATAAATAGCATGCCTATCAATTTGGTGTACGCTCCCGAGGTATTTCATTAGACTTTTCCGTCAGGACCTGAGGTACATTGATCAACTGAGTGGCTTCTGGCTATATAGGGGACTCTGGAAGCCCTGGAGACTCGGATACCGTGTTTTCGGTGCGGAGACAAGTCTCTCGCTCCAGGGAGGGAAATCCGGTCCGGGGATGGAGTTGTGCTGTTGAAAAATAATTTCGTAGCTCCCCGGCCGCATGGTGAGCCTTCACGGAGAAAAATGAATCACGTTATATCTTTCCTAGGGTTCCACAGTCCACAAAGTTTACACCTACGCAGAGCACTCGGTCCACAGCTGCGTTTCTCAGTCATGGGCCGATGGGATGCGTAGCTCGATGTAGGGGATGTTTTGCAGAATGACGTGAACATCCTTCCGATCTGATCTCCGGCGTAGGTCTAAAAACATGACGACATGATATCACTCGCTCTGACTGAACAATACAAGAATAGCTCCTCAACGAATGACACGTCAGCATCGATATATACCTACGAGATCGCGCTTGAAATGCTACGTCATTCATTTACGAACATGTATGCTCAACTTAGTCTACATACATTCACCTGGTGTGCGTCGCCTCCCGATGGGACGCTCCCCGATAAATCCATTAACCCTATTTTCTTTTCCGAGGAGCGAACGGCATGATATGTGCGCTCTGACGATCTGGTGACACTTGTTATTCCTCGGTCCGCGGCTGGTCAGCTTCTCGTGTGTGTCGTAGGATTCTCAGAATTAATGACAATGGCTGGAATCATCCAGAGTAATTATATCCTCAAATCACGCAGTCGGCTCAGATTTTCGATTAGTGGAGATTCGTATCCGAAGGTCGAACTTACGCGCAGATAGCCTCAAAAAGCGGCCCAGAACCGCCTCGGATCCGCGTGGGAGGGAATCCGGGGCTTTATAAACATTTTCAGCTCGTTGTTTAGTGATGCAGCCAGTCGAGGAGAGAGACTGGTTCCAGGAGCTGCACGGAGTTCCTCTTTGACATGGCGGCCCTTCAGAAGTTGCCTATTTTCCTAAGTGCTGTGGTTCTCGCTCTTTGTTGCGTCGGTAGGAGTATTCATAGCGAGCCAGAGATTGACCAACCGGATGCAGCGTCCTCTCAATCGCGGAATGGTGACCTGAGCCCTACCCAAAACACGAGGGAGCGAGCTGGCGATGTCGACGATTTGAGGGGCAGGGACAGAAACGATACGACTGACTCCAGCGCAGGCTATTACAAGACGATGGCTAGAGTAGAAGACATGATCGATACCCTGCGTTATGCGCAAAATCGGAGAGCAGACATGGATGGAGTTCGATTCTGTTCGCTCAGAGTCGACGGCAGCAAAACCAATATCGCTATTATACAAGACGATATAATCGAGGAATATTCCGGTGAGTGTAATGGATTCTTATGCATATCCGTGCGTCAAATCAAATTTCTCTGTTCACCGTATCGAGAAGGCGGATGCTTCGGAACCCGATCATTGATCCACTCCGACGGTTGATGTAGGCATTCGATTAAGCCCTATTCTATTTAGTGAATACGAAAAAGCTGCTCGATTGCTCCGGCTTCCTGAGCTGCAACAGCAGAACTGTAAAGGTGAGGCACTGGAAACGCGGTCAGGTGTTTTCCTTCCGAATCTGATGTCGCCGAGGGCTTCAGACAGAGCGTCGAGAGCCCTCCGCGAACGTCGTGTCGTGTATGGCGAGAATGTTCTGGAAATGAAGGGATTCGAAAACTCCAGACATTCCTCAGGCCGGAGTTCATATCAGACGATGAGTCCGATTATTCTCCGCAGCGATGCCTACGCAAATTGGATGCGAAGTTCATAGCATCGAGGGATCCCGTTGAAGATTCCAGGAATGAAAGCTAGAAGTCACTGAGAGAATTCCGCGATGTGGATTACACGTCGCAATCTTCTACAGCCAAGACGCTGAGCTCGATAATCAGCGGACAGCGGTCGTCTGACCGAAATACGGTACAGATCCGCTCTGAATAGCTTGGCAGTCGATATTTGACCTCGAAGGCTTGATTCGCATCCTTGTTCCCCGATCGCCCGCCGACTTCCAGGCCTCGGGAAACAGGCCGAAGTTCATTTCGAATAAATCTCGCTACCAGCACAGGAGACGAGTTTTGAACGAAATCCAGTCCGAGTCAGTAGGCTGCTGGATCCAGTACCCGAGTCTGAATACCGCTGCGCTGTTTTTTTTCGACAATCAAATATGGCGGGCGAGTTTTTATGTTTTTCGCTCAGGCCATAGAGGGCAGCAGCGGCACCGGCGGCTTAAAAAAGCCTCTATCTAGACAACGCACGTTTGACGTCCAATATTCGTTGTTGTGCTGCGTTATTGATTGCTTTCCGGAGCTGGAAAAATCCCGAGGGAGACTGCTGTGCATACCGATAAGAATCGAAACAAAGGACTTTGCCCCCCATCGATTGGCGTTGGTATCTAAGGGCCCGCGATTGCTTAATTAGAGGAATCGCGCTCTGGCATCTGGTGCGGCGCGGCTCGGGGCTGGTCGATGAAACTGCTTATCTTCGGTCGCGAGAAGTGCTCATGATGAGGGTAATGAAGTACGATCGGGGTGGAGAGCTGGCCTCGAGATCGTCAAGGCAAGCAAGACTGAAGGTCTCTCTTGAACGAAGGATGAGTTTCCAGCCGCGACTGAACCTTACAGGAAAGAGAAACCTTGTTCCGGACAGAACAAGTCAAAAATCGAGAACCGGTTCCAGAGACTTTGAGCTCGAAGAGTCCCGTGGAATTGCGACAGTTCGAAATGCCTCTTTTTTAGATCGCATAATTGATCACTTGGCGGGTAGAGGGCGCCACATTGCGGAGAAGAACTGGTCGGAAAAATTCCGGGTGTCTCAAAAAACAATGATTCGAATAACCACGTGTGGGGTACGATGAGTTAACAGGTCAATCGGAATACGCAGCGTCAAGCATGCCTGAGCGGCACGAGCACACGACTCGAGCCGTCACCGCTGAATAATGAGGCGTCCACTGGAGACATTGACATGGTATCTCATTTTCGCGTCGACAATCGAAGTTTTTTCGGACGGAGTTCCGAACGAGTTCCATTTTCTCGAGGGGTAATCCTCGACCTCGATGTCGATCCTTGACTATCATTCCGATCTGCATGCTTCCCGTTTTCACCAGGTGGGAATCACCGAGCTTCTCTCATTAGAGCTATCGAATGATGAGCCCGACTCAGAAGCGGTCTCATTCCACGAAGTCGATCTCTCAAGCTGCCGCAAGCCCAGCTCGAAGAATATTATACGTCTCAAATGTCTCCGGGAGACTAGCAATCGCTCGCTCTGAATCGGGGAAAGACAGCCGAGTCGCGAGTACCATATTATAGCCGTTCTCCGAGATGAGTGTCTGCATTCAATCGAGAAGCTTCAACATCCTCGATCGAGACCCTCAGCTCTCTGTCCCTATTTGGGTAGGTAGGAGGCTGACTTTCAGATCTAATGAGTGAGATACTCCGCACATGATGTTTCTTCGTGCTCCGTGATGAGTCGAGGACCCTCCACCATCCTCTGGTTAAATGGAGGAAGAGCATGAGTTGTCGCTGAATTACACGCTCTGGGCCGGAGAACTCAATCGTGTTTGATTCCGGAAATCCGTCTATATGTTGGAAAGCGTGGTGAGGTTGGCGCCTATGTGTGCGGCAGCAGAAGCGTCCGCGACCGGGTAGATGTCCAATATTACGGAGAGGACGCCGTATCTCTTCGGGCAACTGGCTGCTGTCTAGAAGAAGGGGGGTTCGGCAATTAAGCCAAATACAAAAGGGCCCTTCATCTCCTTCTCTTCTTTTCCCTCGCCCCGCTTATCAGCACCCACCAGACCACTTTTGTTATTAACAACAACTCATACGACGGCTGCTCCGGCTGCCGCCGCCGTGGCTGCCGTTAGAAGAAAGAGGAGAGAAGAAGCTTTTTCCTACTCGCATTCCCCTCACCGCACGGGGCTCGGCCGACAACTGGACCAATGAAAGAAAGGAGCTTGTTGTCCACAGAAGTATTGCACCAAATATTGACCCGCCCAAGCTTCGCCGAAGAACTCGTTAATATCCCTGAAAGGATGGTGTCGTCCTCGAGACCAGAATTCCGGAGGACGAACTTCTTCCAGCGGAGGCTTTTCCACGTCCTCGATGCGCCGGGGGCTGGAAGTGTGCGTGCCGATTTTGAAAAGTGGAAGTTTTCGGGCGGAACACCGGCATATTCCGTCAGGAATGATCCGGAATTGTTCCGCAACAGAATGGTGCAGCCTAACGAGCTAGCTTTCATGCCCCGTGATCAGATAGCTTCATCGATAATAATCAAAAGATTGATCGATATACCCCTGCAGGGTGAAAATAATTATGACGATGACAATGGTGATTATACGCTCATGGATCATACCTCGAGAACCTCGGATTTCATTTCTCTTCAGGAAACAAGAACGTACGGAGTTCTCGACTTGCTGCGAGAGGGCCGCCGGAATATCGACCAAGGGCGCATCGAATCATTTGCACGACGCGGCTCACGTGAACAAACTCAATTCGAACTCGCTTCGCGACACGGGAAGGTTATGCCGTGCTCGGATCCGCTTTCTTTCCGAGAACTTCATTAGTAGCTCGTATCATACCTCGGGTTCTGGAATCGATGGGGGAGAGCGTGATAATCATCGAGGTTTGTGAGCCCCACGGGGATTCACTGAGCTCTGATAAGCCAGAGGCCAAGAACGGTCAGCGCCGGAAAAGTAGATCATGGCCATTCCCATCGATACCGTCGCGAGTCCCTCCGCTCCTCTCCGGATCAGATTAGTATTTTAGATGTTGAA